TTCTCCCTATCCACGACAACTCGAATTTGGCAATCCGGGTCAATTCAGATTTAACAGACTCTATAAGGGGCAGGAAATTACTCTTATAAGTATTTTTGGATGAGGACGTGAGTTTAATTCCCAGGTATGGGATCTGTGACCTATCCCATTTGTATGGATATTCAGCCTGCAGAGCATTCATATCAGATTTTTTTATATGAAGCGGTAGGATTAGTGACTTCCCTGCATTAACCTTGTAATAGGATAAGTTGCTAAACATTTGAAGAGTATTCTGTACCACAGCCAGGGAAGAAGCCGGCTTTGAGAGTGTGAGTATGATATCATCCGCAAAAAGGCCAATTTTGTGGACCTGATTCCTTCTATTAGATTCCTTCTATTAGCGGATTATTTCTAATGGCCGTTGCTAAGGGTTCCATGATAAGTGAGAAAATAATTGGTGAAAGTGGACAACCTTGTCTCGTACCATTTGTTATATCGAGTGGGTTAGACATCAAATTGGACGAATATACTTGGGCTGTTGGTTTAGTATATAATGCTAATATTGCCGAGAGAATATGCCCCCCCATGCCAAATTGTTGGAGTACCTTAGACATATAGCCCCAATGAATACGATCAAACGCCTTCTCTGCATCTACAGCCAGAAACAGGGAAGGCATTTTCCGCACCTCTACATATTTGATGAGGTTAAGCATTCTTCTGGTCCCATCTGGTGCCTGATTTGCATGGCATTTTGCCACTAGATGCTGAGGCGCATAAAAATGTCCTATGCTCCTTGACGCCAGTGGTGGTAGTGCCGCGTAAACGGTATTCGCCTAGCATATGTCTGGGCGGAAGATGTATAATTTAGCCCCTTGGTGTTCTGGAAACACCTGATCCTAAAACTGTGCAGGTCATAGCTTTCCAGTCATCTTGTAATTCTACATACATAGTTATACAGAATTATACATACCCCAAATATTCAAAATGAAATGTTTCCATTCTGTAGTTTCATGGTGGCAATGTGTGTATGATAAATTTCTGAGGAAAAAGCAGCTTAGAATAACTGGCAAAATGGGTTAGTCTCTCTATCCAGTCTGTAATCCCCATTGGCTTTGGCTGCAAGAGATCATGGAGAGGATAACAAATTCTTGCATTCATGTAAACTAATAGGATATTACGGCTTTTCTATGCAGTTTATTTCTTTTCACTTGAAGGAAAGTTTCTGTGTTACCCACACCAACCAGTCAGGTACCAGCTGTCTTTTTTTTTTAAAGCTACTTTCTAATATGAAACTAAAAAGCTCCATAAATAATTAAAATGTTGTTGATTCAGCCATTGAAATTGCTGAATATAACTGGCTGACACTTTTCTAGTAATGGCAAAGCCACTAATCTGCAGCACAGTTCCTGACACTCTCACTTATTGTGTATGTGGCCCCTTGACTACATCATGGTAATGTTTTAATGTGTCGCATGCTGGTTCATAGCAAGGAAAAGTCTCATGGCATCATAAAAGCTGACACGTCACTTTGAAAACATTAAAAGGACCAGTGAGAAGATAGCTTTGTATGAGGTAACCTGGTTCTTGGGTCTGTTTCAAACACAGGTTTGTGGTCTCCTGCATTCCAAGCTGGTTCTGGGGCCCGGTAGTTACATTGGAGGACTGCCTAGCTGCCTTCTTTGCTGCTGATGAATTAAAAGGTTAGATACAAGTTTTGTAAAAATATTGTATTATACTATTAGCCACTTGGGCAGTGTATTGTTTTCCAGCCTGTGTGGAAAGGTATAATTAGAATGAAAGCTGCATCTGTGCTGCTATGTGGCTCAGGCACAGCTACTTCCGTTGTTCCCTGCATGATATAGGCTTTTACTTTAATACTTTGAGTTAGGGATGTCCCGATCCCGATGCTAGCATCGGAATCGGGCCCGATACTGGGCATTTTGACAAGTACTTGTCAAAAAGCCCCGATGCATAGCGCTGAAGCGGGCAGGCTGAGCGGAGGAGCGTCGCGTCACTGCTGTGGGCGGAGCTCCAGGTGTTGTCCTAATGTAGGTGGCCGGCGACTGCCTGGAGGATCTTACGCAGAGCGCCGCCCACAGGAGCAGCAGTGATGCGATGCTCCTCTTCGCCGACGATGTCCTTCAGTGCCGGAGAGCAGCGGGAGGAGTTCCAGGTGGGGTCCTAATTTAGCTGGCCGGCACCTCTGGGCCAGCTAAATAAGGCCCCCGCCTGGAGCTCCTCCCACCGGACCAGCGCTGACTCTCCCGCACAGTGAGGTAGGGTGGGGGGGTTTACTGTATATAGTAGTGGCATTTAATGCAGTACATTACAGGGGACCCCTTTGGCTTCAGTCTCTGTTCCCCAAGCAGGAGCTCACAATCTAAGGTCCCTGTACTCACAAGCATAATATAGACAAATTGTACTTAACCTACTATGTTTTCCAATTATGGAAGGAAAGTAGAACACCCATAAAAAAACCCAGGCAGTATACAAAGTCCTGACTAAGTAATCACACAATAAAATGAAAATCTCCAGCCAAGTATGAGCCACTACTTGAAATCTATGGTCTCCATTGTATTAGCAGTGTAATACATATAGAGTACACACTGCTTATACACTGGACACATTAGATTTACAATTATCTTCTGCTAGCATGAATGGATTAAATGATCCATATGTAGCCCTGTACTATGGATCATTTAACCCATTCATGTTAGCAGAGGATAATTGTAAATGTATTGTTGCAGTGAGTGCACTCTATATGTACATGTACTATATACTACATATAGAATGCACTGCAACAGTAGATTTACAATTATCACCTGCTAACATGAATGGGTTAAATGATCCGTAGTACATACTATGTAGTTGTACTATGGATCATTTAAAGTCACCTGCCCCGTTTGTTAAAAAAAAGTATCGGTAATTGGTATCGGCAACTACATGAGGGGAAGTACTTGGTCCTGAAAAAGTGGTATCGGGACATCCCTACTTTGAGTTGCTGATCAGGAATAAATATGCAGTTACAGACTGCTGACCTTTCTGATTTGCATATTTGTTCTAGGTTGGTGAATCAGAAAGTTTTTTCTGCCACATGGTTAGCTACCACAGCTAGGCAGCCGGACTTTACCCCTCTGCATTTATACAGTATAGACTGGACACCTCCCTGCTCCAAGTCTGTGATTGGCCAGTGAAGAAATTTTTTTAGCACAGTGATGGGTCATCCCTCTGTTCACTCTACTTTGTCCACCTGTCAGAATGTTTCTTGCAAGATCTTGTGCACTGCAGAACACCTTAATGGCTCATATTGCTGCCCCTCCCTCTCCCTGTCTTAGTGCTACTGTACAGGTGATTACAAGAGACCGATACTAACAGTATGAGCTCTTCAGTGTTATCAATAACAGGTCACGATTGGGTACTTGCAAAAGCTGCTTTTAAGCATTCATTCAGTTCAGCTTTAAAGAAGAACTTCAGGATTTTTTAAAAATGAACCTGTGCAGAAGGGCTATCACCCCACTGCAATGTTTAAGTGCTTATTTTGGCCCCAGACCTAAAATAAAGACGATACACTCACCTGATCCTCAGTCCTGCAGCAGTCGGCTCTCATCTCTCTCTCCCTCCACTTCGGCTGTGGTATGTCCCTCTGCATCCTCACATCTAATGCAGGTGAATGGACCTTCATTAAAGATCATTACATCACGGGCCCTTAGACTGCCGAAGCCTGGGGTAGAAGAGGCTGTGGGAGCCAGGTGGGACTGAGGACCAGGTGAATATACAGGTGAAACTCGAATAATTAGAATATCGTGCAAAGTTCATTTATTTCACTAATGCAACTTAAAAGGTGAAACTAATATATGAGAGAGACTCATTACATGCAAAGCAGGATAGTTAAAGCCGTGATTTGTCATAATTGTGATGATTATGGCTTACAGCTCATGAAAACCCCAAGAACCCCAAATCCACAATCTCAAAAAAGTAGATTATTACATGCAATCAATAAAACAAGGATTGTACATAGAACAATATCGGACCTCTGAAAAGTACAAGCATGCATATGTACTCAGTACTTGGTTTGGGCCCCTTTTGCAGAACTTACTGCAATTACTTTTGCACAATATTCTAATTATTCGAGTTTCACCTGTATCTTCTTTATTTTTGTTCCTACACTAAGTAGTCCTAGACCTAGACTGGGGTAGCCCCACTGCAAGGATTAATTTTAGTAAATCCTGGAATTCTTCTTTAACGCACGTTTTTAGCACTGTTGTTCTTGATTTAATCCCCACTGAGGACAGCATTCTCTTCCTGGTTTTGTTGGTTTTCTTCAGGCACTTCGCTATCCTCCCACAGCCCAAAATCATGCTGGTAGGGACATTGGCGTGCAAGCAGAGTGGCCCTTTGTGTGCATTAGTGGAAAGCAGGAATCACCAGCACTCAATGAATAGTATTCAAGTAGTAAACGTCCATTTATTCGGACATGTTGTCACAAACGAAAAACCAACGTTTCGGGGCCGCACAGGGTCCCTTCATCAGGGTGATAATGTGACACATCATTGAGTGCTGGTGATTCCGGCTTTCTACAGTTGACGTGCACGGTGCCATCCGTGATTATCACTGCGAGCACCATCATTGCAATTTGGGCCAGGAACGCTGTAAGGAGTGCAGAGGGACCTTCGATTTTCTACTTTGTGTGCATTAGACACATCTAACATGGGGGGAGGGGAATAGATGGTTCTCTGTACTCGCTGTCATTACATTTCCCTTTGTTTGTCTCCTCCTAGGTGATAATATGTATAGTTGTGAGCGCTGCAAAAAGTAAGTGAACCTTCCACCCTGTGTGCTTGTTTAAACCACTAGACCTTAAAAAAACACTGTGGATATCTGTTGTATTTTGTGTTTCCTGAAGGCTACGAAATGGTGTCAAGTATTGTAAAGTTTTACGGCTTCCAGAGGTGAGCGCTGTCCTTCACTCCGTGTCCTATATCTCATTATCTCTGCTATCCATATAATAAATGTTTAAAACTTGGAATGTGATCATCTATCTACTGATATATAAAGAAACGTGTGTGCACGATGCTTACTTAGCCCTTTCTCCCCAATTCCATCCATTTAACCTGGAACACATCACTTTATGGCCATAGTAAAGTGCTTATATACACATCAGTTACGCTGGCCATAGACCCGTAGACTCTCATATGAAAAAAAAAATGTATTTCGCTTTTCTAATAGCTAATGGAGTCAAATCGACAATCTTCTTTGACTGCAGTGACAAAATAATTGAAGAAGGACGATAGGAATTTTTTCCCAAACAAATGAAATTCTAACAGTGAATGTGGTTTTTATTTGGAAAACTATTCATTCAAAAATCAAATGTTAAAATGAAACATAATTTTGATCGACATTCATCAAGTCTCTGATGATGATATTCTGGAATGTTCTGATGAGATTTTTTTGTTTGAAAAGTTTGTACAAAAATCTACCAGTGAATGGCCAGAGGGTTGCTTTAGGCCTAATTTGTAAATACTAAACAATGAATGGACTGTTCCAAACGATCCTTCCCTATTACTATCCAGTTTAATGTAGTTTGTTTTGGATGTTAAATTGTGTTACATTATGACCACATTAACCTGTGTATGTGGGTTTGAACTGGAAGTTGGTCAGGAGTACTGCAAAACCAGCTCATACCAGTTTGGCCATATGTCATTTAACATGTTTTTAAAAAAAAGTAAATCTACATTTCTACACTTAAGTTTGTATCTATTTTCTTTAGACGTATGTACCCTCTTCCCTGCCCCTCTCCCCCCTTAAAGTGCACTTTAGTTGCTTAAAGTGCAACTGAAGCCCTGTTTTGGGTAGAGTGGGGAAGGATTAACACACCCATCATGTTTTATTGCTGTCTGTGTCCCTGTAGGGAGATTCACCTCTCTCTTTGCTCTGGTGATTGTTATCACCAAGAGTGAAAGGAAATCTTGTTTTCAGAACAGGAATAAATGGGAAATCGTACATGGGGACACTAGTTCTGGTGACTCTGCTGACCAGTAGGGATTTTCCTCACTTTGGAGGTATTTCCACTCACTTCCTGTTGTGGCTGTCAGACAGGAAATTAAAAAAACAGGACGCAGATAGCAAAAAAAGCGGGTTATAACCATCCCTTACTCTATTCAAAACTAAAAATAAGTTCTCGCTCTTTACACAGGGTCAGTTAATAATCTGGTTCTTCTGGACAAAGCATTCACTGTGTCTTATGATTTCTTCCGCCAGATTCTCTGTATACACTTGAAACGCTTTCGCCATGAAGTAATGTATTCTTTGAAAATCAGCAGCCATGTCTCCTTCCCCTTAGAGGGGCTAAACCTTCGTCCCTTCCTGGCTAAGGAATGTGTGTCCCATATCACTACATACGACTTATTGGCTGTTATCTGTCATCATGGCACAGCAGGAAGTAAGTATATGAAACGCTACTGGTGAACCACACATATAACACATTGCACACAATTTTAGGAATCTGTACATCTGGATCTGGTGGTTGCTTTGATTCTCTCCCATATATGTGGGAGTGAGAAGAAAGTACTCAGTGGGCTCAGAGCTTCAGAGCTGCATTAATAACTCAATACAATTGTGCACTTAGCTTTCAACTTCATGTGCCATTGACTGCTAATATTACATAGTTGCATAGTTAGTCAGGTTGAAAAAAGACACATCGAGTTTAACCTATAGAGATGAGAAAAAAAATAGAAAAGCCTAAACGGAACGCTGTGCCCACAGTTACCCACTGTTGATCCAGAGGAAGGCAAAAAAACCCTATAAAGCATGGTTCAATTTGCTCCAACAGGGGAAAAATTCCTTCCTGATCCCATAAGTCAATCAGATATTCACTGGATCAACAATCTCTGGTGCTTAATATACCTATAAGAACTCAATATCCAGTAATATTCTGTGCATTTAAGAATACATCCAGATGTTTTTTCAAACAATTAATTGAGCTAGCTAGAACTAGCTCCTGGGGGAGTCTATTCCACATTTTCACAGCTCTAACTCTGAAGAATCCATTTTGTAAAAAAGGTTAAACCTCTTTTCCTCCAGACGCAAAGAGTGACCCCTTGTCCTTTGCAGTGACCTTAAAGTGAATAATTTGGCACCAAGCTCTTTATATGGACCATTTATGTATTATTGGCTTAGTAACGCACTGGACTCTGGGCTTAATAATGCACTGGACTCTGGGCTTACCAGAGGCCCCGCAGAGCCCACCTGATAGTGACCCTGCAGAGCACATCATACATGCTGCACAGCCCATCTGAGACTCTCTATGGTGGGCTCTGCATGGCCCAGGTGGGTTGGCCGCCGGGGTCCCTTTCCCTGTATATCCTCCCAACTCCTCTTACCTGCTGCTGCTCTGGCCTGGCCTCCTCCACCCCCTCCCCTGTCACCTCTGCCATGCCACCCCTGGTACAGCTGATACTTATGTGAGAGGCCCCCCAGACCCCTCACATGGGTACCGGCTGTACCCCCTGATGGCTGTGTTCTATCAATGTTTGTGACTACATTACAATGTGTGACCGGTGACGTGGTCACACATTTCATTGTAATCCCGCCCAGTTTGTTGGCGGTGGAATGTGTGACCGCCAATAGGTCAAGCATTCCAATGCTTTCTCAGCTATTCCAGGGCAGATCGGCATCGAAAATCGTATGTGCAGGAGAACTGATCTGCCCTGGAACAGCTGTTCCAGGGCAGATCTAAATCGCTCCAAAAAAACTGGGCGGGATTACATTGAAATGTGTGACCACGTCACCGGTCACACATTCCAACCTAGTCACAAACTTTGATAGAACAGCGGCCCTGTCTAATCATTTAATCAGAGAAATAGATTATAGTAGGCAACAATACAGTGTAATGTTGCCCATTATAATCTATTTTTCTAATTAAATGAAATAACAGCACACAGTGTGCAGTTACACCCGTACCGAGGCCCTGGCGGTAGTTCCGCCCCTGGACAGGGAGCCGCAGCAGAGGGATGAAAGAGCCACATGCGGCTCCGGAGCCACGGGTTGCTGACCCCTGCCCTAGAGTGTATGACACATGCATGTTTTTACTCCCCAAGTGCATAACTTTACATTTATTAACATTAAACCTCATGTGCCTCCTAATAGATGCCCAATCACACAGTGCATTCAGATCTGCTTGTAAGTTGGAGACATCCTGTAAGGACTGTATTCCAATACATAGTTGTATTAATACAGCAACACTTGCTCAGTCCAGTGGCTCTTCTCTGCAACCACACTGGCCACAACAGTGCTGATGATAAGATGGACCTAAGATCTCTAACAGACAGAAAGCTTCCCTCACTGGTGTTCACCAGCCCTAAAAGAACGCTAACCTTGTTAAAAGGTGTGGTAGCTTTGTAAACTTGAGTTATGGAAATAGCTACAAAATCAGTGAACTCCTTTACTTAATTGTACAATAAGGGGCACGGGATGAATGATTCGGGTACATGGGTTATGCTGCTGGTTTCACGCAATCACACCTACCGCACGTTTTAGTTTTCATTTGAATGGCACCTCCCGCCCACGGTTCGATCAACCGCAGCAAGAGTTGCGGTACCACAAAACCGTGTGTTACAGTGTGATGCGACTTGGGTCGCGACTTTATGACCAAGGACAAATGTGGGCCCTGAGGTTACACTGGTTGAGAACCACTGCCCTAGTGTATGATTAAGAAACTAAGATTTTTAACTTCCGGTAAAATCCTTTTCCTGGAGTACATTAAGGGGCACAGGACCGTCCCCTCTGCTCTTATTATCCACTCCTACTATTGCTTTGGTAAAAAAACTGAGGCATGCTGGGAGTGGGAGGGGTTGCTATGGGCTGTCCTTCCAGCTTTGTTTTCCACAGTCCAATCTCCTGAAAGCAGCAGCATAACCCAATGTAACTGAATACTTTATCCTGTGTCCCTTAACCTCCCTGGCGGTATGATTTTTTTTCGTGTCATTCTTCGGTCTATTTTTTTTCACATTTTTGTTGTTTTTTTGGTTCCGCCCCCCTGCGACGCCTACGCTCGCAAGGGATGGAACCCGGTAGACTGATGCCGGCATCGGCCGGAGAACACAGCGCGGCACGAGGGACAAGGTAAGTAAATGCTGTGCGGCATTCCCAAGTGTAGCTCGGGGTTACCGCTTATGGTATGGAAAAGTAACCCCGAGCTACACTCGGGAATACCGCCAGGGAGGTCAATGTACTCCAAGAAAAAAATTATATGGCAAGTCAAATATCCTTTATATTTTTCTTAGTCTAGGAGAGTACTTATTACAATATTTCCTGTAAATGAATGAATGCATCAGTTTGCCAATCAACATGGGAATCTCTCAGAATCCCACACACAAGTACTTTTTAAGTAAATCTCTTTCACCAACCAGATGAGGGAGGGAAAAGAAAGGACACCACTTTTGGGGTCAGAAGTATTACATAATTTTGGAAACCTTTAAGGGGGTCCATACGCCACCAGAACAGGAAGCCAACAACACTTAAATCACTTTCTGGTGAAGGAGAACATACCATGTTTCCCACAAAATAAGACCTAGCACTATTTTTCAAGATTCCTGTAATATAAGACCTACCCCGAAAATAAGACCTAGTTTGGTGGTAGCATGAGAGGGGGAACTTGAAGAGCGGTAGTTCCGCCCCTGGACAGGGAGCCGCAGCAGAGGGATGAAAGAGCCACATGCGGCTCCGGAGCCACGGGTTGCTGACCCCTGCCCTAGAGGGTATGACACATGCATGTTTTTACTCCCCAAGTGCATAACTTTACATTTATTAACATTAAACCTCATGTGCCTCCTAATAGATGCCCAATCACACAGTGCATTCAGATCTGCTTGTAAGTTGGAGACATCCTGTAAGGACTGTATTCCAATACATAGTTGTATTAATACAGCAACACTTGCTCAGTCCAGTGGCTCTTCTCTGCAACCACACTGGCCACAACAGTGCTGATGATAAGATGGACCTAAGATCTCTAACAGACAGAAAGCTTCCCTCACTGGTGTTCACCAGCCCTAAAAGAACGCTAACCTTGTTAAAAGGTGTGGTAGCTTTGTAAACTTGAGTTATGGAAATAGCTACAAAATCAGTGAACTCCTTTACTTAATTGTACAATAAGGGGCACGGGATGAATGATTCGGGTACATGGGTTATGCTGCTGGTTTCACGCAATCACACCTACCGCACGTTTTAGTTTTCATTTGAATGGCACCTCCCGCCCACGGTTCGATCAACCGCAGCAAGAGTTGCGGTACCACAAAACCGTGTGTTACAGTGTGATGCGACTTGGGTCGCGACTTTATGACCAAGGACAAATGTGGGCCCTGAGGTTACACTGGTTGAGAACCACTGCCCTAGTGTATGATTAAGAAACTAAGATTTTTAACTTCCGGTAAAATCCTTTTCCTGGAGTACATTAAGGGGCACAGGACCGTCCCCTCTGCTCTTATTATCCACTCCTACTATTGCTTTGGTAAAAAAACTGAGGCATGCTGGGAGTGGGAGGGGTTGCTATGGGCTGTCCTTCCAGCTTTGTTTTCCACAGTCCAATCTCCTGAAAGCAGCAGCATAACCCAATGTAACTGAATACTTTATCCTGTGTCCCTTAACCTCCCTGGCGGTATGATTTTTTTTCGTGTCATTCTTCGGTCTATTTTTTTTCACATTTTTGTTGTTTTTTTGGTTCCGCCCCCCTGCGACGCCTACGCTCGCAAGGGATGGAACCCGGTAGACTGATGCCGGCATCGGCCGGAGAACACAGCGCGGCACGAGGGACAAGGTAAGTAAATGCTGTGCGGCATTCCCAAGTGTAGCTCGGGGTTACCGCTTATGGTATGGAAAAGTAACCCCGAGCTACACTCGGGAATACCGCCAGGGAGGTCAATGTACTCCAAGAAAAAAATTATATGGCAAGTCAAATATCCTTTATATTTTTCTTAGTCTAGGAGAGTACTTATTACAATATTTCCTGTAAATGAATGAATGCATCAGTTTGCCAATCAACATGGGAATCTCTCAGAATCCCACACACAAGTACTTTTTAAGTAAATCTCTTTCACCAACCAGATGAGGGAGGGAAAAGAAAGGACACCACTTTTGGGGTCAGAAGTATTACATAATTTTGGAAACCTTTAAGGGGGTCCATACGCCACCAGAACAGGAAGCCAACAACACTTAAATCACTTTCTGGTGAAGGAGAACATACCATGTTTCCCACAAAATAAGACCTAGCACTATTTTTCAAGATTCCTGTAATATAAGACCTACCCCGAAAATAAGACCTAGTTTGGTGGTAGCATGAGAGGGGGAACTTGAAGAGCAGGAGAGATGGTATCAGCCTGCAGGGACATACTGTATTAAGGGGATGACAGGAGACTCCCTCCGGCCAGCGCAGTGACAGGGAGCACTCCAGTACCATACTTCACCAACTGCTGTCCCCCTGAAGGCACTGCTTAATGTAATGGTACTGTACTGTAATGTGTACCGGTAAATGGTACTGTCTGATGTCCCCACTGCTGCACCGCTGCTACCGCTCTCCCTGATGGCAAAGGAAGCCGGCACTGTAGAAAGCAAGGGTGCGGCGGTGGAGGGAGCAGAGCTGCATTAGTCGATATTCCTCTATAGCGCCGGGTCACTGTGACAGGCGGACTGATACCAGGTGCACTCCGCCTGTGAAAGTGAAAGAAAGGGATCCGCATTACAGGCTTCTTTCTGTTGAAATTCTGGTCCAGTGCAGCTGGACATGCAGGTCAGTAGAAGTATCGTAGTTGGCTGCATGTTTAATGGCCCTCTCATAGAGCATGTTACTTTGTACGACTGGGGTGGTATTTCTCAGTGGGGGGGTGCATTTGTTTTTTACAAGTAGTTATAAAATGACCAGCTACTCGTCCAACATGGATTTGTAGCTCCCTCAGTATTCAGACATTTACATTTCTGCATTAAGTTCACAGAGTGTGTCTGCTGTGCCCCTTGGGGAAAACAAATATTCCTTGCATGCTTGTTGATCTAAAAAAAAAATGTCTATGTCATGTCACATTTCAGGTGGTCACTACATATCATACTGTCAGAATGTGATTAATGGGCAGTGGTACGAGTTTGATGACCAGTATGTCACAGAGGTGCATGAGACGGTGGTTCAGAATGCAGAGGCTTATGTCCTGTTCTACAGGTGAGAGGAAGTCTGCCATACATTGCTTAATTTTGCTTGAATCTGCTGCACAGTTTATTATAATTTTGCTATATTTGTGTTAAAGGAAATCTCCACTAAGAGATGTAGGTTGGCATGTCCTGACCTAGAAATGCTAGTTGCATGTCTGTTTCTGCTTCAGTACATTTTCATTTTAGTCAAGCAGTCAAGTCAAGCACAAGGGAGCGCCAAAACCGCAGTTTAAGAACCCAGAACAGTACGTCATTGACAGAAGTGATGTTTTCATTTTAGATGTACCCTTGTGAGCTCAGTCAGCCCCCGGATTTATATGTCTTGGGTACTCCAACAGCGAGATCTCCCTGCTGAGTTTCCAGACTCTGTTCCTGTCCTGCTCCATTGCATGTTCTTGATCCTCCTTTTTGTATTATATGAAATAGATAAACCCCTTTGTTGCAAGCGCATTCCAATTATTGGATACTTAGACAACCTTTTACGTTGCAAACAGTCTCTTCCTACTTTGGAGCTCAATTTCTAGACCAAATCTGCTTAATCTGTGGTCAAGTGAATTGGGGGGGTGGAGGGGGGGGGCTGCGATCCGAATACGTGGCCAGTGACGCCATCAGAGGGGTCCAGCCAGTGATTGTGTGAGGGGCCCAGGTGGCCAGAGAGGCCCGGGCTCCGAGCAAGTTTAAAAAAAAAATAGATTAATACGTGTAGTGTATGCCCCAGCCCCCCGTGCACTTGGTACCTACCTTCCTGAGTATGTGCAAGAATGTTTCTTTTTGGGGGTGGGCAGAGCTTTCTTTTACGCGGCAGAGGCATCGAGATAAGAGCGTAGCACACGGAGCTGCTGGAGGAGAAAGGTAAGTTTATTTCAGCAGACATCCCAGGGGGGTTTGGTGATGTGGAAGGAGAAGAGAGACACACCGAACTATGCTGCACACAGACTGACACGGTGGGGGGGGAGGAGGAGAGCATTACTTAATGCTGGGGCTAGGTGCACCACAACACCACTCTACATTTTTGCTGTGGATCCTGTAAGACACTCTGGGGGACACACTGGAAAGTGTTTCATTTCTTGTGACTGCTGGATGAATCCTTAGGGCCCATTCACACCAATTGTGGTGCATTCCAGAGTGGCAGCTGCTGTAATCACTCACTCCTTCGTTCTGGGGCATTTTTGCAGCATTTTTTGCATTCGCAGTGGACCAGAACGCAAGCAATGTTTTGCCACGCGTCCTATCGCACTGCGGGCAGGGGGCGTGGCTGTGGTGCTATTGACTTCAATGCACCGCCACGCTCCCTCCCACTCCAGAATGAAGGGGGGAGTTCAGTGAGCGATTCCTGTGCGTTCCAACAGCTGCCACTCTGGACGCACTGCAATTGGTGTGAATTGCCCCTTAAGGGCTGCATTGTGGCTGGAACGCACTGGATTGCATTGCGGCCGGCTCAGTTTGTTGTGGGGCGGGAGGGGCATGGCGGTGCAGTGAAGTGAATGGCACCGCAGCCACGCCCTCCGGCCGCAATGGGATCGGCCACATGGGATTGCAAGGCACATCAATGCCTGGGGTCACGGAGAAATTTCCTTGGGCGAAAAGGGGTCACCAGTGGAAAATGTTTAAGAAGACCTGGTCTAGACGGTGCTGCGGACATTAGGGGACTTCGGGTGGCTTCTTTAGAACCACTATTTCTAAGTGTTTTGTCAGCCTGTCATTCAAGCTTATAAGTTGCGGGACAGGGTACCACGTTTTTCTGTTTCCTGTGCTCATTCTACTGGGGCAGTTAGTACTTCTTGGCCGTTTAAAAAATCAAGCTTCTGTTACTCAAAATCTGAGCAATGTGTGGCCAGTGTTAACCTTGTGTAAGTACTAACACCAAACTCTCAAAGCCCCAGTAAGTGAACAAAGCATTGTAGGATGGCAGGGGCAGGGCATCAATCAAACCCTTAATGAGCATTGTACAGTTTTACTTTAAGTGTACAGAGGTAGACTTAATACACTCCTTTGGGTTATAATGGGAGTCCATAGGACACACACATTGGTAGCTCCCTGAGCTGTATGTAAAGCACCTTTTCACACATAACATCTATTCCCCCTCAGGAAGAGCAGCGAGGAGGCAGAACGGGAGCGGCAGAAAGTCATATCTTTGGCAGAAATGAAGGAATCTGGTCTACTGCAGTTCTACATTTCCCGCGAGTGGCTCAATAAATTCAACACATTCGCAGAGCCCGGACCAATTAGCAACCAGAGCTTCCTATGCTCACATGGAGGTATGCCCACGGAAATGCTCATCAGTATGATACATGTATTGAATGCATTGGTCAGAGCATTTGCATCAACTTTATAGCCAGGGATGTTTTGTATGGTGCATTAGTAGGGACACATCCGCTCAATGCTGCATTTTCAGTACAAGAAACAAACAAAAAACATCTCATCTGTATTATTAATGTGCCTTGCTTGTATCCTTGCTTTAAAGCTAGTTATGAATGGATGAGTGCATTTGCCATTCGTTTCACTTGTTGGATTTGGTGTGTGGATTTGGACACACTGGGGGCTTCAGCTGCCATTGTGATGTGCTGGCTCCTTGTGTGTCCCTGTGCATTTGAGGAGGTTGGTCTACCTCCTGGTGAACCTGCTCCCGATTCATCCTTCGCTTTATATGCTCCAAGATGGAGGTTCTCCTAGATTAGTGTTAAGGCCGCACTACAAAGAGGGGCCTTGATGAAGCAGTGCGGCTTCCACATGTTTTGCAAAAGTTGTACAACTAAAACCTCTGTTTTTAACCTTTTTTGAAGGCTGGCCGGTCAGTGTGCTGGGAATGTTTGTTTTTGTGTGTATCCAGTTAAATCCATGTTCATACTCCTTGTATGTTATTTGTTATAGGAATTCCTCCAAACAAGTATCACTACATTGATGACCTGGTGGTGATCCTGCCTCCGAATGTTTGGGAATATTTGTACAATAGGTAATTCTGTCACTTTCTTTATATCTAGGTAGTATTATGTGGCATCTAATACTGTTACGAGTCTAACTTATCTGGCCATTTTTGATCTTAGACTCTGAACAGTATTTAGAACGAGTTATACATCTTATTACTTGTAAGCGCTTTTTGATGTATGCATGAGATGTAGGACGTTTATTGTGTTATTATTACATCTATCGCCTGGGTGCCTTTATTAGATTAGGTATATTCCAGTGTCATAACGGTGATCACTCCGAGAACTTGACAAGAGACAGAACATCAAGTGGCTAGATTGATGTTTGGTGGGGCACAGCCTTGATTTGTCCTGTGAGTGTCCACCGTTTTTCTCTCTCCTCTTCCCCTCTCTCTCTCTCTCTTCTTCCTCCCTCTCGCTCTCCTCCTTCTCCCTCTCCTCTTCCTCGCTCTCCTCTTCCTCCCTTTTTTTTTTGCTCTCCTCTTCCTCCCTTTCTCTTCATCCCTTTCTCTTCATCCCTCTCTCTTCCTCCCTCTCTCTTCCTCCCTCTCTCTTCCTCCCCGTCTCCTCTTCCTCCCCGTCTCCTCTTCCTCCCCGTCTCCTCTTCCTCCCCGTCTCCTCTTCCTCCCCGTCTCCTCTTCCTTTCCGTCTCTTCCTCCCCGTCTCCTCTTCCTCCTTCCCTCTCTCTCGTGCAAATGCACTGAGTAGCTAGATTATTATGACCACCTGACGTTTGTAGGCAAATTAGCTATAATTTCGCCCTGAAGTTGCTAGAGGGCCAGACCATTATAAATAGGGAAGCAGGTTGTTTACCACGACAGTAGAAGTGATTTTTTTCTAACGATATGGGTAACCAACGCGATTTAACAGTCTTTGAACGTGGGATGATTGTTGGCGCTCGGAGCCATGGAGCGAGTATCAGCAAAACAGCAGAATTCGTTAAATGTTCAGGAGCAGCTGTTGTTAAAGTGTTTAAAGACTGGAGTGTCAGACGAAAATCTGGGTCTGAACGTGCGAATTGTGGTCGTCAGCGACTAGTCAATGTTAGGGCAGAACAGAGAGTGGCAAGACTGGTACAAGACAACAGAAGGGCAACAGTGCATCAAATTACTGCAGATCTTAATCAGGGATCCTCTCAAATGATCTCTGAACGCACTGTTCGCCGTACACTGCATCGTATGGGATATGGAAGCCGAAGGCCTGTTCGAACACCTTTGCTGTCTGCAGTTAACAAGATAAAACGTCTCCAATTCGCACAGGAACACAAGGATTGGACAGTCGAGCATTGGAAAAAAGTCATGTGGTCGGATGAATCACGTTTCCAGTTGCATCATGCAGATGGCAGAGTGAGAATTTGACGGGAACAGCATGAAATCATGCACCCCACATGCATGAGTACAACCCTTCAAGCTGGTGGGGGCAGTGTTATGGTTTGGGGCATGTTTTCTGGGCATGATTTGGGCCCTTTAATTCGCGTGGAACAACGTCTGAAAAGTATCGTTGCTGACCAAGTTCATCCGATCATGTTGGTGGCGTATCCCAATGGAGATGGCTTCTTCCAGCAATACAATGTGCCATGCCACGGTGCTCGTATTGTGCTGGAGTGGTTTCAAGAACATGAGGGAGACTTTACCTCGCTTAGGTGGCCCCCACAATCACCAGATCTCAATCCAATTCAGCATTTGTGGGACAAAGTTGAAAGAGCCATCAGGCAGCTGGCTCCACAACCATCAAATCTCACAGAACTGGACAGTGCTATTCATCAGGCATGGTGTCAGATTCCTCGCATCACCTTTCAACATCTCGTGGAGTCAATGCCAAGAAGAATCGCCGCAGTATTGAAGGCAAAAGGTGGCCCAACGAAGTACTGATGGGGTGGTCATAATAATCTGGCCACTCAGTGTATATACAGTGTGTGTGTGTGTGTATATATTACAGAATGAAATGATTTGTAAATCTTATAAGCCCATATTTTATTCACAATAGAAAATAGAAAACATGTCAAATGTTTAAACTCAGAAAATTGACCATTTTAAGAAAAAAAAATAAGGTTATTTTGAAATTGATGGCAGCAACATGTCTAAAAAAAAAAAGTTGGGACAGGGCCATGTTTTCCACAGTGTAGCATCCCCTCTTCCATTAGCATCACTCTGTAAATATCTGGGAACTGAGGAGACCAGTTGCTGGAGTTTTGGGTGACAAGTGTTGGCCCATTCTTGCCTGATATAGGATTCTAACTGCTCAATCCTGAGTCTTCTTCTTTTGCTTTTTTTTTCGTTTCAAGATGCGCCAAATATTTTGATAGATAATGATTGTGAAAATGGACAAATGTTGTTAAAGGAGAGCTATGGGGTCAGGGCTTTTCCCCATCGTTCTCCTAAGGGTAACGGGAGGACACAAACTAGCGTCCTCCCGTTACCCTAAGCTCAGTATACCACGAGCTATAGCTCGTGGTATACTGAGACGCCGCAGCCGGAGCGGATCCCGACATCGATGTCGAGATCCACCCAGCTGCGTGAGTGACAGCTGGCTCTGCCTATCTAGAGGCAGAGCCAGCTGTACCTGCCCCCTCCCCCGTCTGTTCCGCCAGTCAGCGCTGGTGGATCGGAGGGGGGAATCCAGCCCCTCCCCTGTCACGGTAGAGAGCCGTGACAGGATCGAGAAGTGAGCGAACGCCGGTATGTGTTCGCTCACCTCCCGATCTACTAAGCCGACCTGTGACAGTCTCATTGTCACAGGTCGGCTAGAACTATGAGGTGAGTGAAAAGCACTCATCTCATAGTTCTCCTTTAATCATCATTCATAAAAGCAGCAAAAAAAGTCTGTGCCTTGGCTGCTTCTGATTCTGAGATCTGCCTCTGACACCATCTTCTGATTTTCTTTGCAGATTTGGGGGCGGCCCGGCTGTGAATCATCTCTATGTTTGTTCAATATGTCAGGTGGAAATCGAAGCATTGGCAAAGCGCCGGAAAGCCGAGATTGACACTTTCATTAAGGTTAGAGACAACTGCGGAATGTGATGTCCCCTCTGGAAGCTGTTTTGCAAACCTTGTGCTAGTATCTCCTGTGCTCTGCAGTCATGTATCCTCTCCCACTGCCAACATCAAAGCTGAATTCCACACAGATGTGAAAACACAATGTAATGCAGTTGTGTATTCATTTAAAATAGTGAAAGTGTATCTAAACCTAAAAACAAGAATATATTATATTGCAGGTTACAAGTCTTTAGATGTGGCGGCTGCATTTGTTTTTTTTCAGGTTTTTTTCCTTTTTTGCCTGGTGGCCCACTTCCTGTCCCAGGGTGACAATGCTCGTACTGTATCTATGGAGGAGCAGTGTTGTCACCCTAGCACAGGACTGCAGATCACCTCCTGTACACAGAAGATCACAAGAATACTGGAAGTCTATCAGGATACACAGTTCTGTACAAATGATTACAGTCTGTGTGTAGAAAATGTACTTACAAAGAAAAAAACTGCAACCTCCACATCTTGGAAATGGTAAGCTGCAATATTTAAAATGTTATTCTGGGTTTAGAATCATTTGAAATACATTTGACATACAACTACGATGTGTATATGAATCTGTCGTGTTATAAGCTACTGCCATTCCCTGCACAGCAGCACTCAGATTGGGAAAGGTAGGGGTAGCATTAGGAGACAGTCATGCTCTGCTGTTTGTACATGTGCTGACATACTGACAGGAGGAGAGAGCAGAGATCATGCCTTCTAGGTTGGTGCTTCTTTATTGTCCAATCAGCAGGCAGCAGGGTTTACCAGGAGTTCAGCTTTAACTATATTTCAAATGAAAGCAAGTGCAGGTACACATATCTGTCTTTATATCATCATAATGTAATCCTCTGCACAGCAAACAGATTGGAGTACCAGGTGCCAGTGAAGCTCTTCTACATTGCACTGTGCTGTTAGTGTTAAGCAGCCCATACACCTTACGACTTTCATCCTGCGATGGTTGTAAGGTAAGTAAAAGCTCGTACGATCTGCCCATCTTGGACAGGCGTATAGTACTTGCTATCATCGCAAGCCCTCCCCGCTGAGGGGCGGGCTTCCGATAATTCCAATGCTGAGCGGGCAGTCCCGTCCCGTGCGGCATTTGTCTCCCGAGAACGCCACTAACCCGACGAAAATTGTTCGATTCTCGGCGGGTTTTCAAGCCTGCCCGGGAGACAAAAGACGTGCGACCTTACAGTAGAAACGGTTGCACGCCTTCCATACACCTGCCGATTATTGTACGATATTGTACGATAATCGGCAGGTGTATGGGCACCACAGAGAGCATACTGACAGGAGAGAGAGCATAGGGACTACCATATTTTCCATTATGCCTGTACAGGCTTTATAAATACCCACTCTGCCCAATAGAGAAGGATGTGACTTTTGTGGTAAGGACGCTGTTGGACCAGGCTTGTGTGCAGCAGACACCAGGTCTTCTCTAGGAAAGTGCCTGCAATAAACATAGCAGCCAATCCGTTTTAAACCTGCACTGCATGGGAGTTGTGGCTCTATAACCTCCCTACATCCTGATATTTATTAGTAAGCTACAATTGGCTTTAGTTATCAGTTTGATAAATACAGGTGAAACTCAAATAATTAGAATATCGTGCAAAAGTAATTGCAGTAAATGCTGCAAAAGGGGCCCAAACCAAGTACTGAGTACATATGCATGCTTGTACTTTTCAGAGGTCCGATATTGTTCTATGTACAATCCTTGTTTTATTGATTGCATGTAATAATCTACTTTTTTGAGGTTGTGGATTTGGGGTTCTTGGGGTTTTCATGAGCTGTAAGCCATAATCATCACAATTATGACAAATCACGGCTTGAATTATCTTGCTTTGCATGTAATGAGTCTATCTCATATATTAGTTTCACCTTTTAAGTTGCATTAGTGAAATAAATGAACTTTGCACGATATTCTAATTATTCGAGTTTCACCTGTATGAACTGCCAATGTCACCCACAGGCAAATGTAAGAATCAGATTGGTGACTGTGGCTATCAGGAAAGTCCTTATTTAGCAGCTGATGATGAATGAGGGCGATTTCATATGTGTGGACAATGGATGGTCAGCTGTGTGTAACTGTACATAGGTCAGTGCTGTCCTGCTTGACCTGAGCCCAGGAGAGAGTGATGCAGAGTGCACTGCTAATGCTACAATAATGGGTTTCCTCTCCGTTATAGCTAAATAAAGCATTCCAGGCAGAAGAGTCCCCCAGCGTCATCTACTGTATCAGCATGCAATGGTTCCGGGAGTGGGAAGCCTTTGTCAAAGGCAAGGACAATGGTAAGGTTACATCATCTCTTTCACCCCAGCCATTCCTTGTGATTTTAAAGACTTCTTTACAGATAGAATTGTTGAAAGCCTTGCAAAGTCTCCGTCTCGGCTCTTTACTTATTTCTAAACCAAGTGTTGGCTAGAGATGCCACTGAATATAGGGCAGCCATTCTGTACCATGCAGTAGTATTAAAGGAAAAGGGCAAATGTCACACTGATCACAAAGGGTGGGGAGGCACCTGGGCCCCACCAATGCAATTGTGCCGATGGACAGTGGCTGACATGCAAATATCTTTCTTCCCTTTTCTCACTGGAGGAGGAAAGGGGTCAGTCTAGAGATTTACCAATAGTTGCAGACATCAGAAGTGACATCAGGACAGGCAGGTCCTCTCTCTGGTTTTGCAGGCAGTTTATGGACACCCTTACCCAGTGAGAAGAAGTGCTAACATTAAGCAGAGGTAAATCTTATGAATTCACTTGGCATAAGTAACATAACTAAAACCACAGATAGCTGGGACACCAGGAACATTGATTCATTTGCTCTTATAGGAGAACTATGAGGTGAGGGATTTTCACTCAGCCTCATAGTTTGAGCCGACGTGTGGCAATGAAACTGTCACAGGTCGGCTCAATAGATCGGGAAGTGAGCGAACACATACCGTCACTCGCTCACTTCTCGATCCTGTCCCTGCAGAGAGCCGTGACTGTCACACACAGCTCCCTGCAGGGATTCCCCGCTCCGATGCTCCAGCGCTGACTGGCGGAACGGACGGGGGAGGGGGCGGGTACAGCTGGCTCTGCCTCTAGATGGGCAGGACCAGCTGTCAATCACGCAGCTGGGTGGATCTGGAGCCGTAGCTCGCGGTATACTGAGCTTTTGGTCACGGGAGGACGCTAGTTTGTGTTCTCCCGTGACCCTTAGGAGAACTATGGGGAAAAGCCCTGACCCCATAGTTCTCCTTTTAATGTAGACGTGTGTGTATATGCCGTTAGACAGAGCTCATTGTTTTCCATGAGTCAGCTGATTTTTAGATTTGTATTGTGGGAAGGAGCGGTAAAGTGTAGCACTGCAAAGGGAGAAGCAGAGGCCGAGTATGCAGGGAGCAGATTTGGCTGCCTAAATGTTCAAACAGTATATAGAAACTATGATTCTGTAATGTTTAACATGCATTGGTTGTTTACATCAAGCTGATTTCTTTTACATAATGTTCATAACAAGAGTTGTATTCCCTTTAGGTTTTAAAACTTAGCTATGTTATTTCCTTATTTATGTCCTTTCTACTTTATCTAGACTCTCCAGGTCCAATAGACAACAGTAAAGTGGCCCTGACAAAAAGCGGAGGACTCATTCAGCCCAAGCAAGGTGAGAAATTGGCTATTCGATTCCTGATAATTGTGTCTGATTATACACTGAAAAACAAGTCCGATCCATGGCGCCCCACCTCGCAACCTACAGGACTCTTCCAGGATCTGCTACTGACGGCTCGGTGCCAGATACCATAAAACACCTTCAGAGGTATAGTGGAGTCTATGCTTTGATAGGTCAGGGTTGTTTTGGCGGCAACAGGGGGACCTACTCAATATCAGGCGGGTCCGAAGTGGGGCCTCCATGGATTGGACTTGTTTTTCCAGCACATCCCACACATGCTCGATTGGTGATCTGTGTATTTCCAGTATTTGTATACTACTGACATACTCTTCAGAGCGTCATATATAGATCTCTTCACATTAGTCCCCAGAAGGAACTCGCAATCCAATGTCCCTTCTGCACTCATACATACCAGAGAACAAAGTGGGGGGAAATCAGCTGACTTAGCAGTATGTTCTTGGCTTGTGGGAGGAAGTCGGAGCACCCGGGGGAGAACGTACAAACATCAGAGATGGAACTGTCAGGCAGGCATGCTGATCACTTTGCTATGACTCATAACCTTCTCCAGAATGCTGCTGGAGAGTATTGCTTATTAACCCCTTCGTGACGGGAGACGTACACTGTACGTCCAGCCACAAAGGGACCAAATGACTCGTCACGTACACTGTACGTGACGAGTTATTTGCTGCTTTAGAGGGCTGTTAACCGCTGAGAATCAGCTTTTAACATTCATTAATGGATGCCCTTACTACAGAGGCATTCATTAATGAAAGGGTTAACCTTTTTCAGAGACCCAATACCTTAATATCGGGTGTCTGAGAGTCAAAGCAGAGCGGCCGGCAAAATCTTTGCCGGCATTCTGACAGCTCGTATAGATCGGGAGAGATATCTCTCTCAAGCTATACTGGCTTTTTTTTTTCTTTTCTTTCACCAATAGATAAATAATGTGTCTATTCCTACAATGTATCTATTCCTGGAAGAAGAATGTTTCAGTTTGCTGATCGTTGTTGCAACAATCAGAAAACATTTAGTGACAGCTGAATCCTGAACTGCTGCAGGATCAGTGTCACTAACTTATTATATCGGCTGTTCTGAAGTTTGAAGCAGCCTGATAATAACCAAAAATGTATTAATTTATCAAGCAGTAACAGTGAGATTAATTCACAGTGACTGCTTGATATAATTAAATAAAATAACATTTTAAGTTTAAAAAAAAGTGAAAAGTGTAAAAAAAAAAAATAAATGTGTAAAATAAAAATAAAGGACAAATAAATGAATGTATTTATTGCATTTTTTTTAGCTGTGCTGGTTTTGTAAAAAAAAAAAAATACTAGAAATCAAAACTGGGAAAAAAGTGTTTTTTTAAATGTTTTTTTACTCTTTTTTTATATTTTATTTGTGAGGCGTTAGACACACATATGTGATATAAATATATAGCCCTATCTGTCCTCTAAATAACAATATAAATTATGTGTGGGTGCACTTTGTAAGAAAGTATATTACTGACGTGGAAGAATCACACAGCAAAAATGTCAAAAGTGTGTCAGTCATTTACGAACAGAAACTAAAAACAAGCTCAGTCATGAAGGGGTTAATAGGCTTAAGTGTGATATAGTCTTGTGTCTTCCATAATGTCCCATAAGACACTGTACAGAGTACAACAGCCAGTCACATCAGTCTTTACACTTTTAGTACATAGTAATGTCACTACCACCGTCATATATACACACACACACACACACACACACACACACACACACACAACTAAAGCTAATTTAGGTAGAAGACCGCTCACTTACCAGTGTGTTTTTGGCGTGTAAGAAAATCGAGCATTTAATAGAAGTCCACACAGAGGTAGAGAACATACAAACCTGGAGAAGATGGTGTGCATGGCAGTACATGAACCCAATACACCAGTGCTGCAGGGCTATAGTACTAAACACTGACCCCCTTCTACCAGTGAAGAGCAGTATAAATGTTGAATGATCCCCAGCCCCCAGTCTGATCTGCATTCCTTCCCTTTTGCAGGTGCCGATTATGGGCAAATCTCAGAAGAAACGTGGAACTACCTGTTCACAATTTATGGCGGAGGCCCAGAGATAGCCATACGACAAAGCATCGCACAGCCCCAGGAGCCGGACAGTTTACACGGAGAGCAGAAGATAGAAGCAGAAACACGGGCGGGCTAGCAATGACCAGAGTAACAATTCTTATTTTCTATTCCATACAGATCCTAACTAAAGTATTATTCTGCACAGTTATGAAAAAGCTTAACAACTGATTTATGGATGACTCTGCACAGTATGTGATTTCACGTGTATGTGCATTAAAGGAGAACTATGAGATGAGTGATTTTCACTCACCTCATAGTTCTAGCCGACCTGTGACAATGACACTGTCACAGGTCGGCTCAGTAGATCGGGAGGTGAGCGAACACATACCGGGTTCTCTCACCTCTCGATCCTGTTACGGCTCTCTGCCGTGACAGGGGGAGGGGCTTGATTCCCTCCTCCCCGCTCTGCCATCGCTGACTGGCGGAACGGACGGGGGAGGGGGCGAGTACAGCTGGCTCTGCCTCTAGATAGGCAGAGCCAGCTGTCAGTCACGCAGCTGGGCGGATCCCGACGTCCATGTCGGGATCCGCTCCGGCTGCGGCATCTCAGTATACCGCAAGCTGTAGCTCGCGGTATACTGAGATTAGGGTAATGGGAGGACGCTAGTTTGTGTCCTCCCGTTACCCTAAGTAGAACTATGGGGCAAAACACTGACTCCATAGTTCTCCTTTAAACACTTAGGGGGCCATTTATTATGGCTTCTTCACACCAAGTGCAGTGAGCTGCATTGTTGTACACCCCCTCCCCCGGAATATGTATGCTGTGAACAGGACACAGAGAATGCAATTGTTTTCTGTGTGTCCAGTACACATCATTCATATTCATATGTGGTATTGTGCAGAAAAATGCAGCTCAGTGGATGAACAAGCCATAAAGCAACAGTAGTTTGAAGCCAGCGGAGCAATATTCTTTTGAATGGAAGAGTGTAAAACAAAAAAGAGGAGACAGTACTCTGGCATAGGTGCTGTAATGTGGCCTATATTTTATGAATGGGCCAGAAAATGCTGCACGCACCCCAGCCGAGTATAATGGAGCCCTTTAGTATCCAGTCTCCGGATTATATGCCTTTAGCCATCCCCGACCGCTAATCAGAGTATGAATGTTAAGCCCTCAGCTCCCCAGTGTATGTGCATTAACCTTTCAGTTACCCATATTCAGAGTATCAATGTTAACTGCTCAGAATATGCATTTACACCTCCGGAACTGGTCACCAGAATATATGTGTTAACACCTCAGTCCCCACTCTTATTACAGCAGACTTCCTGGCAAACAGCAGAAATATATAAATGTTGATTTTTTTTTACCTTTTATTTTGTGATTCGCACATGTCTGCTGCACAGAGATAATGCTCTACTACTTTAGCTTTAATATTGGTTACCTACCTAGTTTTTGGGAAAAGGTGATGATGCTGATTGTCCAGTGAGGCGGCTGGAGGTAGAGAGGTGACACAAGAAACTGAATTGCTGGATTAGAGAGAAGTATGTAAGGGGTTCCACAGCTGAGGAACACAACCAGCACTGAAGGCTGGCATTACCCAATGACCCAATGCATTACCCAATGATATGACAGGCAAAGTACACCAGTACAATCGATATGCAATGGCAGCCCCCTTTACAGGTTCCCTTACACTTGCCTTTCATCACCTGCCCTCATTTTCTTTGCAGGGTCAAGTGGACATGGAACCCTAGTGGTAGCATTGACTGCTGTGCCGGATCACTGCACTCCTAGAAGCACCTTCAGATGAGCTGTGCGCACTGTTTATCCTTAGTATTGTTCGGAACTAACGTTACAGACAAGGACTTCCCAGGTCTTAGTTTACCAAACCATGGATCAATGTAGACTGAAACTTACCAATGTAATGAGCTATTTATGCAGATCTTTAATGCAGGGGAAGAAGGAACGGTATGATTAGCATGCTGCCCATGTGGCAGAGGAGGAGAGACAGCTACCATTGCGACAACTGTTTACGGTAAGGATTCGCATTGTGACGGCTCAGGATTGCTTTGCCCTGCAGCCAGCTTGTCTTACTGCTAGTATCGCCTTGTGCATATAACACTCACTCTTCAGTCAGATGGTGAAGGCGGGGAGTAGATACAGTTACTGTGCTAGACATCACATGCAGGCAGCTGTGTCTGCAGGATCGATTCACAGCTTGAGAGGACCAGGCTTTGTGTAGCACAATGCTGTAAAGAAGGAGTCTGGAGTCTGAACTTGTTCACGTTACCTTTATATGGCTTATAGGAAACATTTAACGTAAGCACTTTTCTTATCGGCCACCCTCCTGTTTAATATGCACCTTACTGTAGCTGGACCAGGAGCTCGGTTTGTGGGAGTGTCTGGGAGAGAGGGAGCTGCAGTGAGGTGCTTCTGTGTTTGTCTTCAGAACAGCTTTTCAGAACCTAATTCTCCTTCAACCTAACCTCTTAGTGTTGCTATGGTAATGGCCATACATGAATAGGGTGGAGCTTTATATCACATAGCACTGGGGAAAAAAACACAGGCTGTCCATATAGGTCTCACAGGCAGCCTATGCATTAAAGGAAACCTGTTCTGAGAGAAATATGGAGGCTACCATTGAAGACCTAGACTGCAACTGACCCAGAATAGGCATAAAGTCAAGCAGTCCTCTCTGTGCTGTATGTTTGGTTCAGTGATCAGCTTGACAGACAGGCAACTAACATTTTCAGAGAATTAGCAATTGTCACATGACCATGTCCCTCAGCACAGGTTTCCTTCATCAGATATGGTCACCCATTGATAGACAATCTAATTGAATGCTGACTATCCAAATCAACAGAATTCACTATAAGTAGTACTGGGGAGAGTGGGAGTGGTGAAGCGAGGACAATATACACTGTCACATGTTCCCTGGTGTGATCACATCAATCATCATAGACACGTTGAAGGGAATTTATCAAAACGGAGCAGAGAATCTGGAGCAGTTGTGCATGACAACCAATCAGCTTCTCTCTTTCATTTTCATATCTCAACTGAAGAGAGATGCTGATTGGTTGCCATGCACAACTGCTCCAGATTTTCTCTGCTCCGGTTTTGATAAATTCCCCCTTTTGTGTCCCTACAGATATTTGTTGTCCTTGAAAATAACAGCTCCCTGTAATGTGTCCTGATTTGTCCCCCAGAAAACTTTATAACTGATATGGTAACAATACTTAACTTTTACCCCGACACCCCAGGAATATCTGTATTATGAAATGACAGGCCGTCTGAGTCATGCAAAGATTTACATAGTGCTCCGATGTGGAGAACAGAAAAGAAACTGCACTTTGTAGGAAGGAATGGAAATTCCTATGACCATATATGGTGTCTGCTAGTGGGAGTGGAGCTGTGTAGAGTAGCCCCGCCTCTCAGACTTGGTTGCCCTGATCCTTTCCCACCTTGATGACCATAGATGGAGTCTACTAGCAGGGGCGGAGCTGTGTAGAGCAGGCCCGCCTCTCAGACTTACTTGCCGTGATCCTTTTTCCACCTTGATGACCATATATGGAGTCTGCTAGCAGGGGCGGAGCTGTTTAGAGCAGGCCCGCCTCTCAGCCGTGGTTACCCTGATCCTCTCCCTCCTTGACATGTAGACAGTGTAGATCCACTAGACTTTGGCTTCTTACCTTTAAACCTCGTGCTGTAATCTGCCTCATGTTTATGGTTTCCTCACTGTGAAGTGCATGCTGCTGTGTTCTAGTAATATTTAATGTACAGTATTACACAGCCTGCGGGCTGCCGGGATATTCAATAAATTAACTAGTCTTCTTCTGTTTGGAATGTTATTTTTAGCATGCAGTGAATTTGCTGTGTAGGGTTGAAATACTTTGATGTCTATATTATTTTACAGGGTTATTCACAAAAGGGTGAAGAGTTTGGAGAAGGCCGGAGAAGTGAACAATCTAGGACAACATAGCTGAACTGGAAAGTGAGATGAATTGGAGAATTTGTCTAGTTCAGCGATGTTGTCTTAGCTTGGTCCCTTCTCCTGCCTTCTCCAAACGCTTCACCCTTTTGGGCATAGCCCTGTTAGTGTTTTTGAATTATGTTGGCATTGGGGGGTTTTATTATTGCTGCTTGGGAGGTCTTCCCCATATTTGATTGAGTGCATTCTTCATATATTTCTACTTCCAAAAGTTTGCCCCTTCCTTGACCAGGAGAACATTGTGGTTCCTAGCGGTTGGTTCAATCTGTTATTGATCGGCTTGTAAAATTGGGCGGCCTTTGTTGTGGAAAAACAAAGCGGATATAAACAAACATCTGTATCACAACAGTATAAAAGACTTTATTTGAACAAAACAAATAAATAAACCAACAGTAAATAATAACAAAGGAGTACATTCCAAAGCCTTTTCCCCACATCGATTCCATATGGAGAAGAACCAGGTTCTGTGACGCCTCCCCTCACCTATGTCATATTTGGAATGGTCTGCTTCCTGATTTAATTTGGCCGTGTACCCTCTCCACTGCCATGGAATATATATAGTAGGCCATTGAGCAGCTTAAGAACTCCTAGCTCAGTGTGGCATGCTGGAACTTGCAGTTCCTCAGCATTGGGAAGGCCCTTACATTGCCCATTACCAGAGTGAGCAAGGTAAAAGACTGCGTGTGTAATATATATCGGCCATTATCAAATCCTCTAGAGGCAAAGTGGTCAATGACTAATTGGCCTGTTTAAAGTAAACCTGTCATGAGAGACCTCTTTGTAAATATGCTTCTTATGCCCACTGTCTGGCATCTACACTTTGAGTCACTGTCCTGATACGAGTACATAAGTCATTATATACATGCTCATTTGGGTCAATGACTCAAAGTATTGGTATAAAAGGGTCAATGTAAGAGTCCGGCAACATATTAAATGTGTCTAAACCCATTACTGCCAGTAACACACTCACTGTACTGTGTCTATCAGGGATGCACCGGCATTTTTAGGAGTACTCCAGGATCATAGCTTCTCCACCACTGTCCTAAAATCATTTGTCTGTATTGTTTTAGAAAAACTGTCACATGACAACAAAAAAAGTATCGGTAATTTGTATCGGTGAGTGCTTGAGGAAAAGTATCGGTACTCGGTCTTAAGTTTTTTATTGACACATCCCTAGTATCTATAGAGCAACGTTGTCACCTTACAACACATCTACAGAACATTCCCCCTCTTTTTGTCTCTATCACATAGGGGTGGTGTGTTCTGCAGTTCATAGGGTTAATAACACTGCTTGGGATTTGAGTGCCCGCTGCCTTTCTGTGGCAGGATCAACAGGTATTGTTTTTCACGTATCGAGCAGATATAACGGGAAACTACAGTTGTTTATGCGTGATGACTTTTACATGTATAGCTAAAAGAAAACAAACGTTTAATCTCATCTACGTGTACTAATGCTCTTTGGATGAGTTTCATGTATTTACATAGTGGCAGCCATGTTTACTCATTACATATACAGACAGGTCTGACTGACTGAACCAGGTTATGTGCCGGCGATTTTATTTCAGGAGATGTTTAGGAAGTTCATTACATTTTGCACATTCAGGCCCGGTTCACACCTGGGCGTTTTGTAGCGCGTTCGAACGCTCAAACACCAAAATCCCATTGTTTCCTATGGGTATGGTTCACACCTGGGCGTATTTCGGCACGTCTGAACGCGCTACAAAATGGCCTACGCCCAAAGAAGTACATGTACTTCTTTGGGGCGTTTTGGTTGCGCGTTTCCATTGGGATACAGCCAGGTAGCCCTTGGAAACGCGCGTTTGTCGCGCGTTTTTTTACCGCAAATCGCGGTAAAAACGTGCATATTCAATACGCCTAGGTGTGAACCCAGCCTTAGGAAGGCTCTTGAAATCATACAGTCATGGAAACATGGTACAGCGAGCATGATAGAAAGAAAAAAACCTGAGATATCATTTATAAATATCACATCAGGAGAAGATCTCAAACGATGTGCTCTCTGAGTATACGCTATATTGTCCCTTTAATCTGCTGTGAGAGCTTTTCAAAGCTGTATATGTGTACACTGTGTAACCGCAGCACTCCAAATGTGGTGAGACTACAAGTCCCATGATGCAGTTTCACCACAGTGCGGAGCAGGCTTCTGATCACTGTCAAGGTTATTCACAAAAGGGTGAAGAGTTTGGAGAAGGCAGGAGAAGTGAACAATCTAGGACAACATAGCAGAACTGGAAAGTGAGATGAATTGGAGAATGTTTCCAAATCGGCTACGTTGTCCTAGATTGTCCACTTCTCCTCCAAACTCTTCACCCTGTTGTGAATAACTCTGTGTATCTTCTCATTGTGACAGCTGATGGAAAGCTCTTTACCTACAGAACCTTCTGCCAGGAAAATCTGCACTTGTGAGTGACTTCCACAGAGCAGAAATTTGTATGCTGCCGTTTTCAGTTAAGAAATGCAAGAAAGATCTAATATCAATTAAATGTCAGTACTATGTACAGAACTGCTTTGTTTTGCTGCCTTATTCGTTTACACATCTAGGCAATGTTACATTCTGAACGGCTAATTCTATAAAGGAACAAGTACGGTTGTGTTAAAGTCAGAAAAAGTTGTTGTATGTAACGTGATGTTGGCTCCGCAGGGTCAGTCGGGGGGGGCGATAAGAATGGGGATGCATGGAGGGTGTAGAATTGCCAAGACCAGAATGGGGCATCCTAGAGTAAATCCAGACAGTTGAGATGCATGGAGGAGGATAGGAGAAGTGATATCAGACAAGCGATGGTGATGAGCAGCACTGGAAGCCAGAAGTGGGGCAGAGTGTGCTACCTCTTCTGGAGTCGAATTAGGAATACCTTACAAGTGGTTTTATAGTACACTAGGCCATTTCACTCCCTTAAAGGATGTCCTATTACAATAATGTTCAGTTTGCTTGGAGTATATCTCTAACCAGGCCATGTACTGGTTTTCAGTTGCATTTGTTTCTACAGAGCCTGTGTGCTCCAGTGGCCGAGGTTTGGTCATGATGGCAGTGGAGAGGTTCCCCTGGGCTGGTAGGAGGTGTAAAGCCTGAGTCAGTTGCAGTGCTCTAAATCCTTTTCCTGAGACAATAGCTGAGTTTTTTTTACACCTCCCAACAGAACCATTATGACACACCAGTTACAAGTCCCAGCACATCCAGTCAGAGGATTATGATCTTATGACAGTCATGACACCTGAAGGGCTATAATTTAAATCTAGGTACTGGTTGATATATCATTTTTATCAAACACATTAGGCATGTGGTAACCCAACAAGGATTCCAGTCTGCTTTTTAGTCTTTGTTTGCTTTGTGCTCCTCACAGTTCCCTATTATATAGGCAATTAAAGAGGAAAAATGCAGTAACCTATATCAACCAAACAGAAATGTTGCTCTGTTCTAACTTGCTAAAAAGCTGATTGGTTGCTAAGACTTCACATTATAGCACCTTGTTGTTAAATATTATAATTACCATTCTTGTGTTCTTCATCGCGCTACGTTGGGCTCCTATCATAGACGTTGTATTAGCACCAAAGGATTGTGATGACCTCATCAGTGTGAGACAGTCTTTTGTTATTGGCAGTTCTCTGGTCATCATACTTGGGGTTGGCACGCCATAATCTAGTAGGTGGCAGTGCCAGGAACCCACAGTCACAAAATTTCAAATATTGATACTAGCTTAGAGTATAAAAGTATGTTTCTAGTTGAGGAGGTTTGTGGGGGGTGTTGCTGGCTCTTCAGTTGCAGTCCAGAACTTTCCGCCACTCCCCCGAGGTTTCAGTCTTAGTAAGGATATGGTGACACAGAGATGTAGATAATGAAGACGCTCTGGTATCGTACCCCTTGCTGTTCAGTATGAGTCACCGCCTGGACTTTTATCCTGTATACTCCTGAGGTGTCCAGTGACCGCAATGTATAGATGATGCCGTGACCCCCTTCATCACGGATGGCAAACGGGCTGCCCGAGTCTTGCTCCAAGGCTGTGAAGCTGGTTCGGTTTTGAAGAAGTCCCCCTTCGGAGAAGGCGCTAAGGCGAATGACATCATGATTGGGGTGTATCCCAAACGGCAATGTCAAGAGCTTGTACTGCAAGGTGTATGGACCTCCAGAGCTGCAGTCTGTTAGACATCGCCGATAGCAGGTCCTGTAGAAGTCAGCAATCAATATAAAATCATTAGTAATACAATTATTTCAGTACAATCAGTAAATCTAGGGGATTCAGATGTCTCAATCTTCCCACATTTCAGCTTGTTAAACAGCAGAGAAAGGAAAAAAAAACAGTTGACCTTCTAGAACTTCAGTGTGCTTCTAACTTCCTGCTTAAGCTGACAAGTCTGCTTCTGCTGTTCTAAAGTCCCAACCAGCGTTGTCAACGCCCTGCCCAGTTCTGGACTACAGAATATATTATAGAGAGGAGGAGAGATGTTCTGTAGTCCAAGCCAGGAGTGACAGCACTGGTCCTTCATACATAAGAGTACAGTGAGTGTTGTCACCCTAGGACAACAAGTGTGTTACTGGCAGGATCACCGGGTGAAAATAAAGGGGAAAAAAAGATTGAAATCTAATGCGGCCACCATATCTAAGGACTGGTAGGCTGCAATATATTCATGAAACAAAACACGGGGAATGCACAGTTATTGCAGAAATGTAAAGCTAAAATAAACTGCCACAAGTAAAAAAATAAATGAATGGCGGTATGCATAAACATGTGTAATTAATCAAGGAAAATACGGCAGCCAATAGAATTTGGGAGCTGCAGGGGAGGGGCTCTGTTTTCAACACACAGGGTTTATCTTTCTCTTCAAATGGTAACACAAATGTACTGAGCCATCTGGGCTCACTCTTACCCTGGGCTGGGTCCCTTTACATAAGAGGCAGGACAAGGGGTGTCCAGACACTGAAAGCCTCCTCTGGTGTTGAAACACATCTGGCTGGGTCCGCAGGAAATTCTCTGCTCTGCACATTCATCTATATCTGTAGAAAAAGTAATTGGGACATAGAAATCCAACTCCAGGCAAACATTAAATCCACAGATGAAATACAATTATTCTTGTCCGTCCAGATCTAAGGTATAAACAGCCCTTCCGCACAGCAGAGCCAAGATGGTGGCCTGACTATTTTCTACTGCAGGGTAGCCGAGTCAGTCCACCACCTCAGACTGTTATTGGATAATAAAGACACAGCAGCATACTGATAATGTCATCATTCTATTCATTCGCTTCCTATCAGAATGTTCATTTTAGCAACTGATTGGCCCCTAATGCTGCCCCTCCCTTCCTATTCTGAGCTCTGCTGTACAAAGGATAACAGAAGCTGATGCCAGGTATTTGCACTAGGTACATTTTAAAATACATGTCTTTTTTTTTTTACATAAATGTATTACTTTATTGATTGGTGTATATTTTATCTGCCCGGAGTTCAGCATTAGACTAGACTTCGCTGTATTGATTCTTGGCTCTGAAGGACACTTTCCCAGCATTCTGCCTGCACTCATATAATCCTGGTAAAGGTTAAAGCCCGGGTTATTCTCAGGTAATGACAATATTTATTGATGCTGATAAAGGGGGACTCAATTAGGGACTGTTTCCTCAATTAGTAGAATTAGTGGCACTGACATTTTTGGAAAACTATCACAGTGTCTCTGAGATCAGGTGTGCATAAAACATATAAACTGACCAATACACATCCAGTAAACACCTTTGTCTGCAGCATACTGAAAATTGTCAGCTCAACCACCTTGTTCCCTGACAGAGTAACAGATGTCAGCCCGAAAATAAGAGCGCTGACACAATAATCTCTATAAAGGCCAAAGCAATGAACCATCAAACCAGCACCAGTCTCACCTTGGCAGTTTCTGTTGTTGGGGAGCAGCCGGTAGCCTGCTGGACAAAGACACTGAAAGCTGCCCTCTGTGTTCCTGCATTCATGTTGGCAGGGGCTGCGCTGTTGGCACTCATCTATGTCTGAAAGAAGAAAGCAGGTTTGAAGAATGGGTCAAAACCAAATCTCCACAATACACCAAATAACCAAACATCTAAGAATGTGGTTCATTAAATCAGCTTCTCATCATAATTTGTGGAAAGATGCAGCGGTTAGTGGCTGGATAGCTACACATGGGGAATGCCCTGCAATTCTAAAAGGGAGGAACAAGAGTATTTTCATAAGATTGGGCTGATTCATTAAAGGAGTTGAGAATCTTCACTCAAAAAATGTGTCAATATTCACTTCAATTATTTAATCAATCATAAGAGAAGCATCTGCACATGGTTCAGTACTCAGTATACAGGAAGTTATATTTCACATTATTGGATAGCCAAAGTGAACATTTACACAATATTTTCAAGTGAATAGGATTTTATTCTTAATGTAAATTCCATTGAGGGGCACAGCTCTGAAGAATTCTGAGACAGAGATCTGCTGCCGCCACCAGGAGAATTGGACACTAGGCAAAAAAAAAATTAAAATCCTGCCACTTTTTGTACATAACCCCCTCGCACCTGCCAGTTGGCGCAAGCAGGATGAAAGAAAATTAGGGGAGGGAGTTGTGTCCCTCAATGGACTGAGAAAAGGATTTTACTGGAAGAACAAAATCTTATTCTCTTTATCGTCCAGTGAGGGACATGGCTCTGAAGAACGTAAATCTGCCCCTAGTTGAAGGAAAGACAAAATTTGCAATATAGAAAAAGAACCCATGGGGAAGACCCCAAAGACTCCCACCAACAAAAATAACTCGAGCGGTGGTGAATTGTACGAGTAGAAGATCTACGAGCCTACAGCATAGTTGGACTAACAGAATCTGAGATTCCTCTGTCATATAACACCTGGATTTCAACAGCCAGGCCATTAAAGCCAATGACCGACAAGCAGGGTGGAAGATTGGTCCCTTAGACAAGATGTCTGGCTGATCTGGAGGGGACCACGGATCTTCTGGCAACAGAAAAGCCAGATCTTTATACCACTCCCTGCGAGGCAAATTTGAAGTGATGAGAATGACTGGAACTCCTTTGTGTTCTATCCTGCGAAGCAGACAAGGTAACAGCGCCACATGAGGAAAGGCATCGGGGTGTACCGATCACATGGAGCCACCAAGGCATCCACTGCATCCGCCATTTGATCTGTGACATTTTATACAAATACTCCTGAGGACACTAAGTAAAACTGGCAGGTACCACAGGTTATGTCCTTAAAGTGGGAGGCTTTTCGTTTTTTGCCTAGTGTCCAATTCTACTGGAGGCAGCAGCATAACCTTATGTCTCAGAATTTTTCAGAGCTGCGTCCCTCAATAGACGATAGAGAAATTCTCAACATGCATCAAAAAAAAGTCATTCTTATTGTATTACTCTACTTTCATAGTTTCACTTGCCGTTTCATATTCTGGTGACATTGTTTTATATGTTCTTGAAGATTCTCTTTCCAGTAGTACCATCATCAATACATATAAAAATATTTTTAAGGGTTCATTCACATTTTGGCTCTTACAGGACCACTGTCAGACACCCCTCAAACAGGTCTAAAGTGCTTTGTGGCGATATGTTGTGGCTCAGCATACATGTGATGTTTGGGCCACAGGTGCCTGTTGTTTCTTTACTGCTTCTCCTGGCAGGTGGAATTCTGCCTAAAGTAAATCTGTCATTTTTATTGTTAATTATATAGAGAAAGGTGTTAGCTTCCTCCCATCAATGCCAGCTTGGAATACCATGGATATGGGGATACAGTCAGTAGCTTAGTAGTAAGTAGGCTTGTGACCATGTTTTCTTCTGAATTAGTGAAGGTTCTAGTTGTAAGCGACAGAATGGGAAAAATAACTATGGGAATGTCCTAGAATTCTGTGGTCTGCTTACTACACAGTATTGGTATTCAGCTGGAAGATCAGGACTTAGTACATGAATGAGCATGGATTACTTAAGTCTTTAATACAGTAGCAAATTAACTTAAGAGGATACACAGAGAACATTCTGCCCATCCTTGCCTGGCTGGTGTTTTGAGACTTGAGGACCATTTTTTTTAGATGTCCACCACCGTAAACATTGCTGAAGAGCACAGGTTGGTATCTGTATAAGAGGCACACCACACTCAAAAGTCTCTTGCCATGGAGATACTGGCCTGAACTTCTGATGTGCCAGGCTAGTTTTGTTGGGGGAACTTAGACTTTCTAAAACTATATATATATATACACACTGACTATTAGCCTCTAGCCACAACTCAAACGTTTCTGTGAAAAACCTCTTCCAGCCCAGAAAAATGGTAAATGTGGCAACAAATGTCTTGGAACCAAAGACAAAAGATGCATACAGTTCCCAAACCCAGGTCCTGTATGATCATGGATACATTTGCTTACCTGTGCACACCCCATGTCTACGCACAAAGCCTGGATGACAGCGGCCAGGACTGTTTTGACCAATCATGTTGCCATTTTGACTGAAGGACAGCCAAGTGTACACGTTGTTTCCATGAATGCGGCCATTAGTAAGTGGCGGCTGGAACTGGGCGCTGGTGGTGCCAAAGGTTGAATTACTCCCGAGTCTCTCCAGTCCTGCACATGAGCGCCCATCTCCCAAAAGTTGCTTCCCAGGTGGACACAGGCATTTGTAACTGCCAGCCAGATTCTGGCACTGATAGGCACATGGTCTAGGCACCTGTTGGCACTCATTAATATCTGGATAAAGAGGAAAGAAAAACAGTTCTGGGATTTGAGTTTTCAAGAATCATATGCAGAAGACCACTATGAGGTCACAGAGTGAATGAATATGTAAAAAAAGGCTGTAATGGCCCTTACCCTTTTTTTTAATCAAGATGTAACCTGATTGTTGCACATAGCGATCAATATTCTTTTATCCCTCCCCAAAAAATAAGTGAAGGAATTTGAATGGCTGCTATTAGCAATAAAAACACCTTTTACTTCAGACACTATGATAAATCCAGGCCTGTAAGGAATGGGAGGCTTTGTAAGTCCAGGGGAATGGCGCAAAGTATGCAGCTTGGCCATTGCTATGAAAATAGTCAAGCATCATGGAAGCAGAACCAGTGCAGGCTTTAAAACTGGTACTTCCAACATACATTATATGGGCAAAAACATGTAGACACCGGATCATTACACTCATTGTACACTAAACCCTTTGTCACTGGAAGATCCACAAGCAGTGTCTACCTCACCTATCCTCTTCCTTCACAGTATTTGATATTTCATTTTGGGTGCCCTTTATTAGGCAATTTGAACAGATCCGAAACTTAATATTAATTTAATTAATCCAAATTGTCTTTTTAACTTTACTTTCAGCCCAGCTGTCATGACTTACTCCAGTCAAAATTATTTTTTTTAGTTCACTGCATCTTGTCTAGAGAACCACCAGTGCTAAACACACAATCCTCTCCTTGGAAAGTAAACCCAGGATTTACCCATAGAGAGTATGGTAGCAGGTTTGTTAATGCCCCCTGCCCGCCCCAGCAGCACAGTCACGTTTCCATCACTCTGTTTAACTTTCAGGAGCCGGTACTTCCATGTATAGAGAAGCATGTGACTCACTACCCTGCCTGTCCTAGAATAGTGCTGGTGCTTAGTGACTGATCCACCACTGTTATGTTTGGGTTGGGAGAAAGGCCTCAGCCCCGTGTTAGCTCCAACTATGCTTACTTACACATGGCCACTTTTCCTCGCTTCTAGCAACTGAACAGAGTTGTGGGGAGTGAAGTAAAGATGAGTATTTACTGCTAGGAGGGTGGGGATTAAAGTGAACCTGTTGCTTTGCCCAGCATCCGCACAGGCTTGCTTTAAGTTTAGCCGTACTATTGCTGTCAAGCAAAAATCCCTCCAACCTTACAATAACAAAGCATATCAATGCTTACCCAAGCATGGTCTCCCAACACCTTGAGACCGGTATCCCCGCGGGCATGTACAACGGTACCCGCCCACTGTGTTCTCACACAGCTGGTTATAACGACACATGTGGGAGCCGTCCTGACACTCGTCAATATCTGAAAAGGAAATACATTAATTCTTGATTGATTCCCTTGCTCCATCCATAGGACCTACAGTATACATATACAGTTTTGTATAAAAAGAAGCGTTCAACATTTTTACTACATACCATTAGCCCTCATTCACACTGGAATCGGCTGGCACATACAGCTCCGTGCTGCGTGCAGGGCTGTACCAAGCTGCTCAACGGAAGGACAGGTGCTGCGTGTGATTTGTACGCAGCCCCCGTCCTTCTCTATGAGACTACGCGGCCGGACACCCCCCTACGCGTCCGTGCGGGTGAGCGTACTTGTACGCTGACAGGATGGACTCTATCTGCGTCTGAGCAGGAAAACACGCACCCCTACGGACCTGCACTTGGGGTGAGAGTAGGGCGGCATACGGCCACGTACTCCCATAGAGAAGGACGGGGGCTGCGTACTAATCACTTGTCCTTCCCGGGAGCTGCTCGGTACGGAGCTGTAGGTGCATATATCTATAAAAAATAAATCAAGGCAACTGGACTTGCTGTATTTTTCTTGAAGATGTTTCACTGGTTTCTCAATTCAGAAATGATAGTCGTATGGCCAGCGAAACGTCTTGATTTACCAGTTGCCTTTACTTTACTTTTTCAGGTGCATATAGTTACTTTGAAAATGATTTCACATTGTAGGGGTCTGTGGCTACATTTATCAGAAAAGCCCCAGAACCCCTTTTGAAGCTCATTTCAGGTTTCTCTTTATTGAAACTTGTTTAGCTCAAGTCAACATACATAAATAGAGCACAGACCTCAGACTTGCAGTGGGTAGCTGCATACATACCTGCCAAGGAACCAGCAACCACAATTGTACAGCGAGCAAAACCATTCCCTTCCAAACAAGGAGTATGTGGTGGTTTTGTACATATTTTATTGCTTTATATTGTGGTAAAGACGATTTCTTTTCAAATATTTGCTCCTTTTTCAAGTCAGGTAACTAATAAATATTGTATTAATTCTCATTTCCAGGCAAAGCTCTAGAGACTTTTTAATGTGTTTTCTTATCTGATTTGCTGAAAAAAAGCCTATGGTTTATAGAGCTGAGTAACTCAAGCTGAACTTTCCACAGAAGTGATTGGTTAAAACGTTGACTCCTCCCCCTTTCCCTTCCTGGCTATTCAGACAGCGATAGTTTCTATCATAGAGGAAGCTTTTATAGCACTCTGTGCTAGGATAGAGGAAGCTTTTATAGCACTCTGTGAATCCTGTGTCATGGGTGCACTCTGTATTAAATGTTTATTATCACCATTAGGATTTTGTATTAATAGTTACACTTGATATAGAACATAAGTGTAAAACCTTTCAAACCTAAAAAATTAAATACAAATGACTCAGTAGATTCCCTATATTATGAAAAACATATTGCAGAGATTAGAGGCTTTCTGCAGTATACGGCAAAGGCCAAGCTCCACTCCACCCTGATGAACTCCTAAAGTGTGCGGAAAGCCAAAAATGTCTTTTTGTGTTTAGGATAAAAAGGTAAAGGATTAGAAACCCTGTCAGGTTCTTACTGCTATTTTTAATGCTACTGCTTTAGAAAGATTTCCCTTCACTTCCTGCCGTGCTGACAACAGACAGGAAGTTAGGGAAACTCTCCAAATTAAACAGACAGAAATAAAAATGTTTTAGTGGAGTGGGAGAACACTTCCTGTCTGATTAAACTGTTCCCAGCAGGACAGGAAGCAAGAGTAAAATATATCTAATGAAGCCTAGATAGCAGTGATAACCAAGTTCTAATCCTTCCTCACTCAAATTATCTAAACCTAAAAATCATACACTTTAAATCCTATCATTCTTTCTTTCTTTCTTTTTACTCTATTATGGAATAGCAATGAGGGAAGCATGACATCACCTTGGGAGTCCCCATGAGATATAAGGAGCCAGTACGTGATTCAGCTTGCAAGCACAAACCCATAACTGCAATGTCAGCTTTGAGCAGAAATACCATTTAACTTTTGCCCTCACAGTTTGGGTATTTTTTAGGTACCCAACAGGACAGTTATCTCCATGTAGAAGTGATATTCAGAATTCAGTGTTATTTGGAGTTACGTCATAGCTATCCCTATCCTACCCCACCTCAACCTAACCACTGAACCAGCACATTCTCAAACAATTCATCCCCACACAGCTACCTCCTCATGTACCACTTCTCCCTCGCTTTTAGATTGTAAGCCCTCAGGGGCAGGGCCCTCCTTACCATCTTGTCTTGAATTGAATTGTGATTGTAATGCCTTCCTTATATTGTAAGGCGCTGTGCAAACTGTTGGCGCTACATAAATCCTGTATAATAATAATATTAATAGCTGTACTCACCATTGCAGCCTCCAGACTCTAAGCGAGTGGTTCCTGCCGGACAGTTGTCTACACAATGGTAACTTCCAAGGCTGTTCTTACACTGCTGCTGGGGCTGACAAACTGCTCTTAGGCACTCATTAATATCTGTTGGTAAAGACAAAAAATAATTTACATCAGTGACCTTGTATAAATTCATCACATAAAAGATTAACTTCAACCAGATTAATTTCCATAGTTTTGGATACAGTGGGAAAGGTTTCAAATTGTGTTAAGGAGATTTTCCCTCGCTTCCTGTTCTGGCCTAACTGTAATCCTACACAAGACGTAAGGGAAACTCTCTCACATGGAGACAAGGACAGCAACAATACCCTGACAGAGGTATTAAACGTTTCCCATCTGTTTTATGGCTGTGTCCCAATGAGGAGAGTTTCTCTCAACTCCTGCTCTGTCTGATACCTGTCAAAAAGTAAATGAGGATAGGTTTCCCTAATTGAAGATACGCAGCAATTAAAAGGTTGATAGAGCCTTTAACCCTACTCTATACAAAAGTAAACATTTGGCTATATTTGGGCCTTAAAGCCCCCAACAAAAAAAACAAATAAAGTCTCTACAGCTGTGTCTATGGCTTGCTCAGCAGCACTGCTTGAAGGGGCAGGTAAAAGTATTTGTTTCACAGTTACGCCTCCTGTCATTACAATTTACAGCAGAGCGGACTATTCCTGCCCACCACCCCGACCGTTTGGATCAAAGGAAGAGCAAGGGGGGTCACATGACCTGGGATAAAATACATTACAGTATATAGAAGCATTTTTTTAAACTGATCTCTAATTTGATTTGGGAGGAAATTCCCAACCTAGATTTGTAAAAACAGTAAAGGATAATACTATTTCACCCCGCTCTGCAACTGAAATTTACACATTTATGATCTTAGAAACCTTAAATATCTTTCCAGTAAATATTGTTGGGGCAGCATTGATGCTGATAAAACATGCACTTGACATACTAAGACATTACCAGTCACCTAAAAATGATATACATCACATACAAGGAAGATCACTAACCTATACAACGTGTGCCTTTAAGCTCAAAGCCCGGATCACATGCACACCTATAAGAGCCAATGGTATTGAGACACCTCTGCTGGCATGGAGAGGACTGGGCACATTCGTCGACATCTAGGAGACAAGAAAACCAAGGTGAATCATTGTGTTCATTAGAAGATAAAAGTATAAGCGGAGGTAACCTTCACTGAAAACCTCTGTAGAACCAGTCTGTGTCTCCAAAGATTTAGGCAGGTGAAGTTATAGGCAAATCTCGACTCTTCCTATATGTGTCTAGCTTGGTCCTGCCTCTTCCACCTCCACATTCAAAGACCAATAAAGAGGGTCAGGAGGTTGGAGGGGGTAGGGCCAAGCATGACTTTTAGTAGAAAGTGTGAGATGCCTATATACTGTGGATCTCTACTGATCATTTTCACAGCTCAGTTTAAACTGTGCAGGTTTGTGGCAGGATCATTTTAAAGTGTATATAAACTTACACAGAAGAAACAGATGCAGTGGTGGATTAAAATAGGGCAGAAAAGACAGCTGACCAGGACCCCAAACTCCAAAGGGGCCCATGGAGATGCTATAGAAACCCTGCACAGAAATAAAATGAAATATTTTTGATTGCCTTTTAATGTAGCATTCAACTTTAGATCCAGTATTTTGGTGAGCCCAATTGAAGCTGCTGTTTCAGGGACTCTGGAACTGGAGGAGGCCCTGTGAAAGACTAGTTTGTTTAGGGAATTACATGTGAACCACTGGCTTGGAATCCCCACGGAGTCTATGGCTAGATTTATGGAATAAATTAGTCAGCATGCTATCCTTGCAGATGACAGGGTCAGAACAACATAATCCTTGAAGGAAGGCAGATATCCATTTATTACCCTCGCAGGCTGTTCCCTCGGCGGTGGGTCGGAAGCCGGGTCCGCAACGCAGAAGGCATCGGTATGTTCCAGGCATGTTGATACATTCTTGTCCTGATGGACACTGGTGGGTGCCCATTTTACATTCATCTAGGTCTGTAAAAAGAGGTTGGAAGGTAGTAGATGAATGTGAGTCTTCATTTTGTTAGGAAAGAATTATCACCACACTGAATCCCAGGCAAACATCTAAATACAAATTTGCAATGCATATATGTGCTCTGTTTAGCTGCCAGAGGATTTGTAATTCTGTTCAGTCATTGTTATGAGACGGTTAGGACAGCCAGTTTGTTGACCGCCATTAAAGCAGCAGCAGCATTTGGTCAAGAACACGTCCCCAGAATGGTCATTGAACAACAAAGGATCAACAGTACTCTGAAATGTCTTTACTCACTCCTCCTGTCATCACTTTCCCTGCAGTGCAGTCACTAGTGCTGGCATTTCACCTTCCAGTCCGAGAGCTGCTATGCAGGGGGTGACAGGAGGCTGAAACTGAGACAAATCCAGTTATGCTAGTTGCAGCTATAATGGAGTCCAGCTATAATGTAAATTTTTTATGTTGGTCCTTTAAAAATGTAGATAACTTCTCGAGTAGATATAACAGATCATTGTGCTTACCTCTGCAGTTGCGGTTATCCATTGCCAAGCCATACCCTGCTGGGCAGGAACAGGAATAACTGCCCAAGACATTGTGACATACGTGGGAACACGGTCTGCGGATCTCACACTCGTCCACATCTAGGAGAGACACACACACAAAGGTCATGAAGTGCCATCTTCATCCCTGGAATCATTCTTTTTCTAGCCAAAGAAAGCATGAGGGAACCAGGGAAATGCGTGTGTAGACACATTACTGGCTTCTATACACTCACCTGCACAGTAGTCTGCAGACTGCATGAAGCCCTGGGGACACGCTCCTCCATTCAAGCCTGGTTACAGAAAAACACTTACATAGTTAACTGTGAATTCCGGCAGTAAATAATATCCGGTTAGGTGCAGTTGACTCCTTCACTGACTGTGAGCAGCAGCTCTACCAACACTGAATGTTCGAGAATTTTAAGTAGGTCCCCCCAAGCTTCTATTCAAAGCAATGGAGGGTTTATTATTGAAGGGCCTGCATTGTCTGGAATGGATAATGTGCTTTCTGAGGCAGGTTTTCGAGGTTTCGTTTCCTGTCAGAGGCCGAGAACATTGTTGGATAAATAAACTTCTAGTGTACCCAAAAAAATCAGTCAGAGGGTTTGCAGACATATTGTTGAATTGTACATTTTTGACTTAAGTATTCTTTCAGTATACTTCATAGGAATAGCTCAGGACAACACAGTGCCTAAAGCATAAATATATTCTGGGACCCAAATCATTATAGGTTACAATGGGAAGTGAGATGATATCTGTCCAGTCTCACTGGAGAGTCAGTTGTCACCAGAAAAGGTGTCCCCATTGGAAGATTTACCCTCTATGCCTGTTCTAATGACAACTGCTGTAACTGGGAAAAGAGACACCAATAGAATCCCAACAGAGGTTCCAAACCATCTACACTTTATATTTATAAATGAAACAAAATGTTTTGTCTTTACCTTTAGGGTTAAATTAAAGGGTTTAGGGAGATAAAGGTTGAATGTTAAAATTAGATTAACTGCAAGAATGACTGATAAAGTGTTAAGAATAGGTAATAGCTCAGAGAGTGGTGGGGGTACACAGGTTTACATTTATTCTGGGCACTGACAGGTCCAGGTGACAGGTTTAGATGCCTAAAAGAAAACAAACTAATGGTATCTATTCTAAACTAGTAAAAAAGAAAGTACATCATACTTCAATCAGACAGATAACCAGAAAGTGAGCTGCCAATGCTGGGCTTTCTTGGAAAGTGCACAAATGTATGCAAATAGGGATGTTCAGATACCAAGTACCATATTTGGTACAAGTACATGTACAGATACCTTTCCATTTCCATTTCCAAGACTAGACTAGAGAAAAATTCAAAAGTTAGGAGGCCAAAAGTTAGGAGACAGCTGTCATTTGTAAGGAGTATACGGGGCTCCTCGTATTTGTACATCTCTGTTTTAATGAATGATTTTTTTTTTAGATAAATATTTATAAGGGATGCTCCGATACCAGTTTTTCAAGTACAAGTACTGATACTTGCCCAAGTACTGACAGATACAAGTACCGATACATTTTTGTTTATTGCCATGTGAGAGTTTTTTTAAAAAAATACAAACTAATGATTTCAGGACAGTGGTGGAGTGCCAGAGCCGGGTCCCAGCTGCAACCGCTGCAACCCTGGTAGTTCTCATGAAAATACCAAGTATCGGCACTGGTATCTGAACATCCCTATATGCAAACACTGTATTGTGGGTGCATCCTGAAGTTCCTTTAGCTGGCTAGCAGGGCTGTTGGGGAATTTTGTATTGTGCATATATAGCAAATTGCTGCTACTGAGCACCTTCCTAGGTTTCTATAAATAAACTAAACAGCTTGCCATTCTGTCCTAAATAGTACTCTATCAATCTGATCGTTAAGGGTTCTAAAAAAACGGTGATTTCAATAGTTTTATTGTTTACCAGGTTCATCATCAGTAAGTCTAATCTCCTAGGTGGCGCTCATCCTGCTGGTATATATGGAAAAGTTCATGATTGACAATGAAGCTCATAGTAAAGAAATGTCTTCTGTGATACCTGCTTGGAGAGAGGCCATCAGCTGGAAGTGAAGCTCCTCTGATTCAGGAATGTATGACGATCGGATGGCACTAATGTGCACTCGTTGGGCGGGTTTGGGTTGACGCCCCAGCGTAGGGTTGTACTCCACTGTGTGGTTACAGCGCAGTGTTAGGTAGGTTGCACCATTGGTGAAAGTTGGTGAGGACCAAGCATTAATCTGTCCGCCTCCAGTCTGTACGTACGTCTCACTGAACTCCTGGGCATGAGAAAGTCACATGACAGAATTTAGAGAGGCAAAGGTGTAGCCATCTTTTCTACAAATAGGAATATATGCACTGCCTGTGCGGTACAACAGCAAAATCACATATCATATGAATCTCTGAATATGAGATGTCCTTTATTTATGGCTGGGCAGTTACTTCTCTCTCTACCAGAATTAATGCTGCAGTCTAATCTGCTTGTATTTTGCCTTCTCTGGTTTTCCTTTCTCCTGCCATCAACATGCTAATTACATTTTTAAAGGAAACCTTTTCCATTTTCATTACAAACCATGCAATGCAAACAGATCATGGCTGATAGAGTGCCTCAGTACTCCTCTCAGGAGCACTCAGCCCTGATGTATGCAGTGGGTTGGTTTGTAGGAAGAGTTATGCAAATATCGAAATGCCTTTAAGGGTGGATGTCAGTCTGGAGGAGTGGGCGTTCCTAGGCAGGCTGCATTTGCACTGAGACCACCAGCGCCAGATTTCCCACAAGGCAACCAAGGCCCGGCCTTGGGGCAGCAGGGAGTAGAGGGGCAGCAGGGGTGTGGGATTCCTATCTGCCGATGCCCGAGACATGCAGTTCCGGCCGCCGGGTGGGTAGTTGTTCTCTACATTTAGCCCTGCTTTGGGCAAGCAGAGCTAAATGTACAGTGGGGAAGCCGCCGCTTGTTTTGTACAAGTGATCCTGAGATCACTTGTATGCAGGTCTGCCATTCTCCATGGGGGGGATGTTTGGCGGGTAAGGGGGCGCATTGAGGAACCTGGCCTTGGGGCAGCAGAGAGAGTAAATCCGGCCCTGGAGACCATCCTAGGTAACACCGACATGTGCTGAGCTTCCATAATTGAAAGAACTGAAATCCACTGAATGAAAGGGGTGGGCCAGTGACAGTCAGGCTGGGGAAGAAAGAGCTAAATAATGCTAGAGGTCCTACAGCCAGAAGTCAGGCAGGTTCTATCTTACTTGCTGCAGCTTCCAATGCACATTTTGAGAAGCTCACAGTATGCAGTGAAATCACAGTAAGCAATTTCAGGACAACTCTGTAAGACTGACAGCAAGGCCAGAGTTCACCTTTAATGATGTAATAATACCAGCCCTGCCTCACCTCCTGCACCAGTTCTTTCTGTAGCATCCATGAACATTAGGCTATATGGTTAATGTGTCTTTATCTGTTGGATGTGGCTGGGGATATAACTCATACCTGGACAACAACATCAGAAGACGCCAATGTGTCTGGTACAAATCCATTAATCACAATGTCAAACCAAAGGGTACCGTCAGCATCCAGACCTCGAGCGATATGTGTGATACGCAGATGCTCACCTGGAACACAAGCACATTACAAAATGAGGGAAATATTGTCTGTCCAAGTAACTATGCTAAGCATTGTTTGTAGCGAAAATGACCAAAAATACAAAAAAGCCTAAATACGCTATCATTATGAAAAAACTGATTCTGCTGCTATTCACCATGCCCCCATCTCTCCAGCCTGTACAATGTGATGCAGATACGCAGATCTCCATGAATTACATTGGAGAAAGAATCAGTTTGATTGGTTATTCCTAGTTATTATTATTTTGTACCAGTGGCGTAACAAC